CGGCAGCCATGTAAATGCAAATGCCGCAGGGGATATTTAAATCCCCCGCGGATTTGCAATTCCGAAGTGTCTCATTAGCATCCCTTTTCCGGAAAGGGATGCCAATGTAGACACAGCCCTGAGGTTTTCTGTCTTGTTTTGGACACATTAGGGGTACATCTAGACTACATGCCTCTGGCAACAGAGGCATGTAGATTAGGCTACCCGGCATAGGAAAATGAAGCAGCGATTTAAATAATCGACACTTCGTTTAAATTTAAATGGCTGCCGCGCTGAGCTGATCAGCTGTTTGTTGGCTCAGCACGGTAGTCTGGACGATCCGTGGTCGACATCAAAGGCGTTTGTTGACCTCCCAGGTAAACCTCATCCCAGGAGGCATACCTGGGACGTCGACAAATGCCTTTGATGTCGACGGCGGAGCATCCAGACTACTGCGCTGAGCCGACAAACAGCTGATCGGCTCAGCGCGGCAGCCATTTAAATTTAAATGAAGCGGCAATTATTTAAATTGCCACTTCATTTTCCTATGCCAGGTAGCCTAATCTACATGCCTCTGTCGCCAGAGGCATGTAGTCTAGACGTACCCTTAGCGTTTTCTTCCCTTTCTTTACAGGTGAGGTCTTTGAAGGACTTGACTAATTATGCCAAATGAGGTTGCCACTTGCGCTGAAGGTCATCTTTCTCCCTCTACTTCAAGGCGGGAGGCTCTAAATGTAATGCAAGAATTGCCACTATACCAAGGAAAAGGAAATATGCCTCTCATTTGAGGCAGGAACCGTTACCTTTAGTATTCATTTCATGTGACATCACTAGTCATATCGTTCTATTCCTGAAGCAAGGATTTCCAGACGAGAGAGATAAGAGGTGACCAGACATTTCTATTTAAATAAATAATCAGGAAAGAAAACCAGACTTTTTTTACCCTGGAGATGTGCAGGGGAGGGAAACATTTATGCATCATAATCCCTTGGCAAGGGGACAGGGATAACTTGGAGAGAACAGGGGTTTAAAAAACCAGCTACTAAGTGACAAACGTGAAAGTTTTGCCAGGGAGTTTAGAGCAGAAGAGTGAGTGGAAGATATACTTAACAATAACCCTTATTACGCCACATACACACATACTAGATCTACACTGCAATGGTAAGTCAGAAAAAGAAACTTAATTTGTGGTATGCAAATTGTGTATCTTTTTCCACTTTAATGTCAAAAGAGGCTTTTCCGAAATTTGGCGTGTCTACATAGCACCAAATTTCGGAAAAAAGTGCTCTTTCAACACATCCCTTATTCCTCATAAAACGAGGTTTACAGAGATGGCAAAAGAGCACGTCTGTTTTTCAAAAAATTTTCTGAAAAAGCGGATGTGTTCCTTGGACACAGCATTGCTTTTCCAGGATACCTCCAGTATCCCAGAAAAGCAGTGCAGTCTAGTCACAGCCATACACAAAACCCATCAAGAGAAGAAACTAAACCTGCAAGAGTAAAAATAATGCTGGCAGAAGTCCTGCCGCAAAGTTTATTGCCCTGAATGCAGTATGTAGGATTCCAGGCCTTGTGGGCAGTTGGGTTATGTGTACAATTGTTGCAAAGAACTCAGGGCTATTAGGGTACATCTACACAGCACCCAAAACTTGAAATAAGATACAAAATTTGCACTATGGTACACAGCACCAAATTTTGAAATAACATGCTATTTTGAGCCATCCCTTAACCCTTGTGCAACAAGGTTTACAGGGATGGCAAAATAGCGTGCCTATTATTTCAAAATAAAAGGTGAGTTTCTAAGATGCCAGGTAGCTATTTTGGGATTCCTCAGTATCCCAAAATATTTCTGCTGTGTATACCTACCCTAAGAGACCAAGGATGGACTCCTGAAAGCAAAGAGGCTGAACTGGAGGAAGGGAGGTACAGTGAGACTTTCAGTGACATAGTAGAGCAGTCCCACCCCTCAGCCTGACAGCCTCTGTGCTACTGAAGAAGATGAAAATCTTAGAGAAGGAGAACATCAAGCTAGATTACTTGAAAATTGTCTGTTCTGTTCATTCCCTCTAAACTAGATGTGGCTAATGCCAGATGCAAGACAGGATATTGGGCTAGATGAATCACAGGCCTGACCCAGACAGGCCATGCCACCTTATGTTTGTATAAGTAGTAAAAAGGAAAACTACATGGCACTGTTTTATTTGACACAATACCCTTAGCAATTATGGTGACTAGGCAATGCAGACAGTCAGGATTGTGTCTGTAATAAGACACAATAATTTCACACCAAGAAAAAATAGAAGTCTTATTTCAGTATTTCCTATCTTTTGACAATTAACATTATTCACAAGCACACCCCTCAAGATGAGTAATTATAAAATGTGATGATCCTCATCTGAAGTTCTATGTAGTAAGTCTTACTTTCTCAATAATTCCCATCTCTTAACTGAAGTTATTACAACTGCAGCTAATAACTGCAAATTATTGCACCTTCAGAGACCTACTTAAAAAGATGCCTACTTTCTTCATAAGAAAAACAATGGCATTAATGTTATAGTTTAAAGCTAATTAGAGTACATATACACAACTATGTTTATACAACTATGTCCCCACACGAAGTCACAAATTTAAAATAATCCACAAATTGGATTATTTTTAAAAATATAGAAAGAAAAACAAAGCAATAGAAGAAAAGACCCTCTGTATAGAACATATACAGTAGACCAAGCTCTAACCTTCGACAGCCTTGACATTATTCCTTTTCAATGCTAGTCTAGCATTGGTGGGAGTCATGCTGTTTTAAATTTTCTACTTAAAAACTATTCTGCAATCTCTATAAAATTACATATCCAAAAATCAGTAGAACATTACCAGTTTTCCCACTGATTCTAAGGAGCTCTGAATATTATGGGATAGTAGGAAACATTGGGTCAACGGATGTTTCAGAGACAAAAAACATTAATAAAAGCAAATGAGTGTAAATAATTTTGTACAGAATACTAGACCTGGAAGGGACCTCGAGAGGTCATCGAGTCCAGCCCCCCGCCCTCAAGGCAGGACCAAGCTCCACCTACACTCAAGAGGTCATCAAGTCCAGTCCCCTGCCCTCAGGGCAGGACCAAGCACCATCTAGATCATCTCTGATAGATATCTATTCAACCAGGCCTGGCCTTAGGACAAGGCAAGCAAGGCAGTTGCTTTGGGCCCTGCACCTTCAAGGCCCCATGCTGCCAGAATCCCACCAAATCTTCACATTCCACATTAACCAGACACCTGCCCCCCATCCCCATGTACCACACGCAGTAGAAGGACTCGGATAAAGCTGGGGAGTGATTAAGAAGTCTGTGACATTTAGGAATTAGAATCTCACTGTATTTCACTGGCAGCTGGGACCCATCCCCTCCCTGCCTCTGTTCTTCCCTTCCTGCTGGCACCAGAGCTTGTGAATGATTCACCACCAGTCAAGGGTTTTACCCTCACTATCGGCACCGGAAACCAGGAAGACTCAGTAGCCACATTTTACAGGCAAGGAACTGAGGCTCAGACTCATGAACGCTGGGATTAACCAATCTGCCAAAGAGATTTGGGCACCCACCGCTCAGCAAGGTGGAAACAGGAAGTGAGGAGTGATTTGGAAACTGATGCCTGCGACTCCTGTCCTTTGTCCTAGGGCACGTGGCAAACCAGCAAAGTACAGCTCTGCTGAGCTGAGCGCTCGCTCTGTGTGGGGTATAAAGGGGACACCTCACTGTACTGAGCTG